GCCTCCTCCATGACCTGAACCCTGAACCTGAACCCTGAACCACGTGGGACGTGGGGGACACACTCTCAACTAACTCAGACAGGTCAGGAGATCCCTTTTCTAGGCAAATAATGAGAAATGCAAATATTAAATGCATCGATTCAATTGGCAGAAGGGACTAGCAGAACCCAATACAGGTTGTGAGAAACCAGAATATCTCTCGTAGTGAGGCAAACAGCAGAACTACTTCTTTTCAAATTGACAAACAACACAGGACACCAAAGCTCTATAATTAGAAGGCTTATAAACTGTAATTTAAAATGTTTCCCTTAACTGTAAATAGACTTACAATGTACTTAAGTATTATTAGCAATTCTTAAACTTGATGATGCTCAGCATATATTGAAGACATATGATACCACCAAGGCACTTGGTTAATTTGAAGCACAGCTATTATTACTTTACCCATGTGTAACTACCAGTAGCTACAAGTAATTAAAACATAAAAGTGTATGGTGGAAGTAAGCATAATTTCTTTTTCTTTTTTTTAAAATATATTTTATTGATTTTTCACAGAGAGGAAGAGAGAGGGATAGAGAGTTAGAAACGTCGATGAGAGAGAATTATTGACCAGCTGCCTCTTGCACACCCCCTACTGGGGATGTGCCCTCAACCAAGGTACATGCCCTTGACCGGAATCGAACCCGGGACCTTTCAGTTCACAGGCTGACGCTCAATCCACTGAGCCAAACCGGTGCTGGCAGTAAGCATAATTTCTAACATTTATTGAGCACTTGGCATGTGCCTTGCCTTTTATTAAGACTTTTTGTTTTTTGCAAGCATTATCTTATTTAGTCCTCTAAACAATGCTGAGAAATGTACTGCTCTTACCAAATGTTTAAGGATGAGGAAACTGGACCTTTAAAAGGGCATGCAATTTGCACAAGATTATAACTAGTTACTCGAAGGTCTAGACTTTGAACCCAAACCATCGGAATCTAGACCCTGAGTTCCCAACTGTTAGTTGCAGGAGAAAAGTTAGGTCCTACTTCTCTCTCCTTCCTTCACACAACTTTCTCTTCTACATTGACTAGGACACACTTTTGGTTAATCAACCTTTGAATAACCTATCAAATACAGATCCCAATCACATCAGATGGGAGGGTTACACTGTAGGCATGTTTTTCCAGGCCCATTACACCACACTGTAAAATTTACAAGACATCTCTTTTAAAGCAAAGAACTTGAAAACAAAACAAACCACCCAAAAGAATAACAGGGGAGCAGTTTGGCTTTTAGACCATGTACTTAGTAAATCCAGTCAATTGAAAAATATATCTCTTAACACAAGGAAATCAGTGAATGACACTGTTGGAAAGCATTGAACTTACTATAAAGTACAAACCCATTTCCTAGGGAAAATGCAGTAATTTATTTCCTTGGTACAAGCTTTCCAGTGAAGAATGCCATTAAACTGGATGTATTGCTCTGACTGGCTGCATACTCTACCCAACAGAATATATACAAGCAAAGAGGAAACATGCTGTCTAAAAAAAATATACAATTTCCTTTTATTTCCCCTTCTGAGTAGAACACCTCTTCTTTAGGGAACAAGTCAGGAGCATATAACAATTCACTACATAACATTTTCCATTCTGACAGCCAGAAACAATGAGAAACCAGGAGAATCCATGAGGACAACCCAATGATTCTCAGAAAGGCAAGAGTTTCTGTGGTGGATGCCTCACATCAGCTTCTTATCCAGCAGAAGATGAGCAGCCTGAAATCCAGATCTCCCCCATATGAGCAAGAATTCATTGAAGAAAAGACACACAGATCCTTTAATAAGCCCATGTTTTATTCCAGCTTGGCTAAAACATCAGTTGTGTGGAGATCAGTAGTAGAAAATAAAGCTGTAAAGATAGGAGGAATAAACTGTAGAGATCTCAAAATGCTAAGGCAGGCTGTCATTAACTCAGTGGGCAGCTGTGGAACCACAGAAAGATTCTGAGAAGAGCAGTGACATGACTGTCACCTATGGAGATCAATGGGAAAACAGTGTAGGATAGCCCAAAGGTAGGGGAGATGAAAGGTAGAAAGAACAGTTAAGAGGCAAGATTTGGAAACAGCTTAAGTGTCTGTCTATGGATGAATGCATAAAGGAGCTGTAGTGTGTTTGGGTGTGTAGATATGTATATACCTATGTCTGTCTATCTATCATCTATCTATCTATCTGTCTGTCTATCTATCTATCTATCTATCTATCTATCTATCTATCTATCTGTCTTTGCCAAAAGAAAGAAGGAAACCCTTCCATTTTGGTGCGTAGAACTGGAGGGCATTGTGCTAAGTGAAATGAGTCAAACAGAAAAAGACAAATATTGTATGATATCATTTATATGTGGAATCTAGAAAAGCTAAACTTCTAGAAACAGAGAGTAGCATGGTGGTTGCCAAGGGCTGGTAGGTGGGGGGCAAATGAGAAGATTTGGTCAAAAGGCATAAATTCCAATTACAGGATAAGTTCTGGGGATCTAGCATGGTGATTATAGTCAACAACACTGTATTATGCACTTAAATGTTCTCACCACAAAAAGAGAAATGGTAACTATGTGAGGTGATGGAGGTATTAACCAATGCTACTGTGCTAATCATTTGGCAATATGTATAAAATGTATCAGGTCAGTATGTTGTATTCCTTAAACTTATACAATGTTATATGTCAATTACATCACAATAAAGCTGGAGGAGCTTGACAGCTGTTGTGCTAAATTCCATTGTATTTGCTTATAATTTATTTCACTGCATTTTAGCAAAATTAATCTCATGACTTCAAAGAGTTTATTTTCTATTTTCTTTCTGCCTACTAGAAAGTTTATACAGGTCTTTCTTATTGATCAGTTCAATGGGATAAGATATCCTTTCAAAGTTCTGATGCTTGAAAATGGCAGATCTATATTCAATATGCATGCCAATACCACCTTAGTTAACAGAGAACTCATGAGAGTAGAATGCCAGGTGCACTTTTTGAAATCTGAGTCAGTAAAAAAAGACCTTGCAGCTTCCTTCTCACTGGTCAGAACACTCCCTCCAGCAGGCCTGGGTGCATGTCAGAAGGCTGGAAGGGCACATGGGTGGGTGCTCCAGTGATTCCCAAGTGCACCCAGACTTGCAGCAAATCCCACGAAAACACCAGACTGTGTGGGAGGAAGCCTCCAGATGCCAGGCTCTAAGCACTGACATTACCCCTGCTGCTGGAGCCCTCCCAGCTGAGGCCTGAGACATCACGCAGCAGAGACAAGCCTCTCTGCTAGCCCAGCCCATACTCCTGACCCAGAGAACCCCCGGGCATAATAAAAGGGGGTTTTTGTTTTTGTTTTTGTTTTTTACATTATTAAGTTTGGGGGTGGTTGATTAAGTTATAATAGATAGCTAGAATCCTATGTACAAGAGAGGTGATAAACCAATGGTTGTAGAGCCCAGACTCTTAATTCTGGATGGTGTATTTCAAAAGATTAAAAATCAAACATACTCAGAAGAGAGTAACAAGAATGTTCATTTATGGAGGGAAGAAAGTATAAATGAAAGGACTGGAGATATTCAAACCAGAAAAGAGAAAAAGGGTGTACGTCCATTGTCTTCAAATATTGGAAAGGCTATCATGAGTGAAAATCAAAACAATTACTCTGTGTATTCAAGGAAGAGAGGCCTGGGGACAATGAGCAGAAGCTAGAGGGAGTCAGATGGAAGAATTCTCTAATGTTCTGAGCTTCTCCGGAAAGAAAAAGCAGCCTTAGGAGGTGGTGAGTTCCCTAACATTCAAGGTAATCAAACATAGATGATCACCGCCCGGTGGGTGGGTTTGGAGAGAATTCATTTATTGACCAGAAGTTTGAATGAAATGCTCTTACTTTAAGGTTATGCTGTAACACTGAGATGTGTTTAATCTAAAGATCAACCCCATTTCCTTGTTCTAAGAAATCTAATCCCAACACATGTTGAGCAGAGGGGGGAAAAAATACAAGATGAATAAGATAAATGAAAAGCAATACCCAGGTATAAATAGAACGTGATGCAGAACTTCAGAGGTAGAAATGGCAAACTAACAGGAAAATAGAATCCAGCACAGCAGCAAAGGAATGTTTTGAAGCACAAACCAAGGAAGAGAGAAAAGGAAAGACAAAGATTTCCATCAGTGGCAATACCATGTAGAGAGGATGTCTCTTTCTTTCTTGGCAAACAGTTTGATTCATTTCTAAGACTTTTCTCTTCTGTCTGTGGGAAAGACAGACCAGAACATGGCAGCGTAGCAGCAAAGGGGAGGAGGTTCAAGTGGCAAAATGAGCGAAGCTCTTTAGTGATCACAGAGTGTCTAGCCTCAAATAGATGTGTGTGCCTATAGGGTCAAGTGATAGGCATGGAAGCCACTGTGGATAATAAACGTCGGGACTTAAGAAAGACTAAGGTAAGCAAGAAACACTGGAAATTAAAACTTGGTTTTCTAAAACAATGGCCAATATGGAAAAAAAAAAAAAAAAAACAGCACTCACAAACCACCTAGAAAATGAGATGTGTCTAGAGCAAAGCCACAAAGGAAACAAAAAAGAAAGAAAACGTTAAAAAGTTATCTCAGGCACATTTCATCTGAACTTTATCACCGTTTGTAATCAACTTCTGAGGTTTCATAATACCCTTTAACCTTAGTTACGCAACCCACTGAACAAGTCATCTCATTGTTACCGGGCTTGAAGGAAGAGGGGAGACTCTTTTCGTGTTGATAAGAGATAGGAAAAGGAGTCACTCCCGGGGGGGGGGGGGGGGGGGAGTGTTCTGAATCAGCTCCTGGAGCCTACTGGTAAGGAGTGGTGATAATCTTTCGCTTGCTCGCCTTAACCCATTCAAGACTCATGGCACCTGGAGTTAGACATGCATGACACTGAAAAAGTAAAAGTAACTTTCATTTGAATAAGCAGAAACTTTTCATTAGAAGACAAAAGTAGAAATTGTTTCTTATTACTCACCCATTTCCTAGGTCGGCCTCGTGGCCGTTTTTCTCCAGTGGCTTCTGCTTTCTGCAAAATGAAAAAAGAAGTCAAATGGTTGCCTACCTGACACCATGCACCAGGACTCACAAGGCACACATTTGAGGTGTGCTTGCCCTGACTTGCAGAGGCGATATTAAGAACTGTTTCAACCATCTCTTTCTTTTTTTAGGTTCATCTTCTCCTTTCTTGATTCTTCTTCTTTTTTTTTCATTGTATGATGTCAATAGATACATCCCTCACCACAAAAAACTCCCCTAAAGTGATTTTCTTTTGTTTCCATCCATAATAAAGAATGATTCCCACATATCCACAATTACGTCAAGTATTTTAGAAAGTTAATGTTTCTTAAGCGATGATTTCCTTTCCATGTCACTAAAGTCACAAAATTTAATATTAGTGTATTGCTTTATAATTTACAAGGCACTTCTAATCTACATTGCTAGTCAAAAACAAGTCTAAACATATATAAGACGTAGGATGCTGATTTTTTTTTTAAACATTTGCTTATTTCTACAGTTAATTTCCTATTCCTTACCAAAAAACAATCACCTGTCAATAAGTTCACTTACAGCAGAGGGGAAAGTAGCTGGGAGAAAGCATCCGTATTTGTCCTTGAATTGGAAACTATGGATATTAAAATAATAATAAATGTGCACATTAACTCTTCACTCAACACAAAGATGGCATTAATATATTTTCTATTTTAAGTTTGTTTTATTGCTTTACTTCATAGATTTTTTTTCTGGTATCATGGTTATTTTTTCCCTTTGACTCAAAATTTAAAATTTTCTATCAAGTATTTCCCCCTATAATCACCCTATTCCAATCCCCAAATACACCAACACACACACATCACACATACATACACATTACATACACCTTCTATAAAAACAGGATAAAGAACAGTTAGTTCATACTCTTTTGTGTACGAGAATCATTCCAAGGCTATCTAAACACAAAAATGTAGGTAAGCTGAGCCATAATAATTTGTTTTGCATTTTACTTTTGTTACCTGGGGTAGCAGCCAGTAGGCACTTAATACAATGATACTAAAATTACCTGATATAACTGTCTACACTGCCAAATGAGAATCTCCTCTTTCTCGCTTCAATCTGCCTGGTAAAAATAGGTGGAGTCAGATGATAGATAGGTAGATAGACAGATAGACAGATAGGTAGGTAGGTAGATAGATAGATAGATAGATAGATAGATAGATAGATAGATACAGAATAAGCCACACGATTTCTCACTAAATAGTAACTCCCTGGCCTGGCATTAGTATCCAACAGGTCCCATGCATTTAACTCAAACTCTGTATAATTATAATGTTAGTTCACACTGACTTAGCATTTAAAATACCCCAGGCAAAGGGCTAAATCACTCACTTATTATTTTAATCCTTACAAGAGCCTTGCAAGGTAAGTATTACTTTCTTCTCTTATTTTGCAGATGAGCAACTAAATTTTAGATAGGGGAGGTAAACAACTCAAGGGCACACACAAAGCTGGTAAATGGCAGATCTGGGGTTTGAACACAGTTCCATTGGGCTCTAAGGACTTGGCTCCTACCTCCCAACAGGGCTGCAACCTTCCCACAGGCATTTGCTACCAGGAGGAGATACTTTAACTAAAGCCCTCACAGATTCAGCTAATTTCCCAGAACAGAAGGAAACCCGGTGGAGCCTTTTTCTATACCCCTGGGACTGACTGCTCTGAATCGCCGTCTCCTACTTTCTAGTCGCTTCACAGAGGCATCGCTTATTGTCAGGGGTTAGTGGTGGTGTCTTAACTTCAATCATAAGGGCATGAACTGGATAAGTGAGAGCCTGGAGTGCCCAGTGAGCCACACGCTCTTTCTGGGAGGGCTCTCAGAGAGAGAGGGTAGTATCTTAACAGAAACAGACTCCTCTTTGGGAAGGTTAGACCCAAGCCCCTGCTCTGACATTTAGCGTTAGGGCTTTGGGCAGGTCCCTGAAAAACCCCCATGTGGTTTCCTATGTGAACTGGAGATAATGCCTCCTGTGAGGAGTGCCCTGCCCGCCCTAAATGCCCGCCCTAAATGAGGTGCTGAGAAATGTTCCTTCCCTCCTAAGGCGATGGAACTCTTGAAGGGAAAGTTTTTCTTCAGGTTGGTCCAATCTCACAGGAGGTTCGGTCAATGCAAATATTCCATTACACCCACCTGCCACCTTTAGAATGAAGCTTTTAAGAAACCCTTTGGCTAGGACATAGTGAGCTACACAAGCACAAAAATTGCCTAATACAGAAGCAGTGTCTGATTTGGTATAACTTACCCAGTGGTAAAGTTCGCCAACATGGAAGATAGAAACCCTTCCTAATAGGCTTGGTGATGAGAGGTGGAGTTGAGGGGAGGGGGCTTTTGACCTTCAAGGCTAGCTGCACCCCAGGCTTTCCCAGCTCAGCTGTGAGGTGTCAGGGGCCCTGGTGGGGTCCGGATGCATCTAACTAAACTCTGTGGAAGAGAGGGCTGTTTCCTAAAAGGGTTTCACTGCACTTCAAAAGCCAGAGGAAGCCAATCTCTCAGAAAGAAAGCCCTGCAAACCAGAGGACTTTAAAGGGAGCATCTCACGAAAGGCCTATTCAAGAAAAAAAATTCTGCACCATTTTCCAAAGGGCCAAAATATCACACTGTCACCTGTAAAAAAGCAGAATGGCTGCGTGTCTTCAGGCCAGTGTTACATGTAAACCGAAACCCTCTTCTGAGACTCCATCTAGAAGAAACACATTAGCTGTGCTGTGTGGCCTCGATCTGGGAGGTTTTCATTGTTCCTTACAACCCACATTATTTAATCATTCCGATCAAACCTCACAGACGCTGCAAAACAGGTTAGGGTTTTCTTTTGTAAACCAGCATCAATCCGGGGCTTTTCCATAATGCAAAGCACAGGCGTTAGCTTCCCCCGTCCCCCTACCCGCCCTGTGTTTAATGCTCTCCGGGATATTATTTTTCCATAGAAGACAAACAAAACATTCTGGGATCTTGTTTTGTTTTTAATATGTCAATATGTGTATACCATGGAGGGGTCTATTTGGTTTTCCTCTGCCAGAGTGGAATTGGGTTCTATGCTGCAAACACATATAATTTGACACACAAAAACTCATGTTAAATGTTTCCTGCTTATCTGGGAGAGAAAGCAGAAATTCTACATTTGTGAGAACTGAAATTTCAGACCATGACTGGCATTGTTATACTATTTGCAACTATCATATCCTATCTTGTTAAAAGTGTTAATGCTTGCCCTCATTCATACTGATTTGTTCAAAAAGTTTAGCTTCAGACCTGAATCTTTAATTTTATTATATACTCAGAAGCAAGTTCATAAGAGCTGGGAGAAATGCTAAATGGGAAATGTAATTCTTTCTTTCCCTAATGAGTTCTGATACTCCAAGCTTCTAAGTGCACTCTGTACTTAAAAAATAATGAAGGAAATTCATCTAGCAAGTATAACTCTTGAATTTGAATGAGTGCTTTGCCTGGTGCACAAGACATGCTTACTATGTATTTACTGAAGAAAGAAGGAATGAAAGAAACACTGCTGTTTATGTCACGTATGTGTCTTGTTTCCCTCTTGCTTTCAGAATTCTTCAGCTTGGTAGGACTTGTGGGTAAGACTTTAAAAAAGCATTTCATCTTTAACAAGTTAAGAAAATTTCTGGGTGTCTAATGACCTCCAAAAGCATAGCCCTTGGGTTTAACTGGGGGACAGAGTTCTGTGGCACACATCTGCAACCCCTTTATAAGTTTGTAAAGAGCTGCCATCCAAAGGTTTCTCAAAACCCAACTTTCAACGTGCATTTCCGATTACTGAAGATAACAGTCTCCTGGCAAATATCTTATAAAATATTTGACAAGTTGCATGTAATACAGGAAGGATCACAAGCTTTAGGAGGAGATTTGGATTCAAATCCAGGCACTGCCACTTGCTCGAGTTGAACATTAGATGTGTCAGTTTCTCATTTGTGAAATGAAGACCAAATGCCTACATCAGAGGATGAAAGGAGCTAACATAGCATATTGTAAAATGAGTGACAACGTTTAGAAGGTATGCAAATGTAATCTGTTCTGCCCTCCACATTTTAAACTGTTACCTTAAGAAAGTACTTCGCAGTTTTGTATGTTCCCATAGTGGTTTCCTGAGCATCATCTTCCCCTTGCTTCACAAATGGGAGGTGAAGCCACCTGCCTACATGTGTAAGTATGACTGAGACCCAATCTGATTTCAAGGCAATCGGGGGTCTGTTACTTTGGGAGATGTTCCCATATGAAGTAAAACAGCCATGGGTGAATTAAAAAAAATAAAGACCTTCTAGGGTGAGAAACAAGTGAGTAGTTAAAAGTACAACATTTCTAAGTTTCCTATAAAGACATGGACAGGAGCTGGAATTGGGAACTTCTGGATCAAATTTAGATAGCTATTAATTTTTTGCTAATCTAAATGCTCTCGTCATAGTTTATATGTATTGTGATAATGCATGAAAGCCAGAACTCTCCCTTCCTTAATCAATGAGTGCATCTGAACAACAACAAAAAAGAGCTATTTAGGGGTAGTAGCACCTTGTTTGGTTTTAATGTACTTGTATGCATGTATATAGGTATAGCTAGATGATTGATAGATCAATGATAGATAGATGATAGATAATAGATAGATGATAGATAGATAGATAGATAGATAGATAGATAGAAGATATGTAGAAAAGTTTAGACTAAGACCTGCAGACTGAAGAGCATATGGAATCAACTATATGAAGTTTAGAAAGACACATTTGTTTTTTTTTCAGTGGTTCCTTTACAAATATAAACAGTGGCATTAAAATCACCTGGACTGATTGGTCAGACTAAGCACTGAGTAACTCTTATTTTACATTTTTTATAATCCAGTCCTATGGGTTTCCAAAATTTAACTGCCAACCATTTTTTGTCTTAAAAAGATACTGCAAGTTTGCAATCACTCCATGTTTTCCAATAGACATTGTCAGTACATTCTATCCTCCACTGGAGTTTGTGCT